AAAAGCATTAGGTGAAAGGCTGATGAAAAACCTTATAAGAAGGCCCAAGGTGGGCACCACCTGACCCCCTCAGATCAATCCCAACACATTAAAAGTGGGACGCCCTGCCACTATGTGCTTCCTGGCATGAGCAAAAGGTAAAAATCACACCATCCCTATTCTTGCCAAGAATCCAATCGAACCACCAGTTTCTAGGAAGTACAGGGGAGAGAAAAACATGCTAAAGAACACCATCAGGGCGTAATCAGCCAAACCCGAAACCTGAGAGGGGATGCTACAGGCAAATGACCCAGTTTCATCAACAAGTAAGTGGCATGAAAAAAAATAAAAGAAGGGAATACTATTCTAGATTAAAAGAGACTTAAAAAGAGATACACACCCAAATCTGATAACCATGAACAACAACCAAAAACAAAATTAAAAGACTTTTTTTTTGAGCACTTGGTGAATTTGCACATGGACAGATCCAGGATGACTTGGAGGAATTATGATTACTTTTATTAGGTGGGATAATGGCATTAAGGTTCTGCTTGCCTGCTTGCTTTTAGATTCATAGTGACCAATTTGGACGAAATGCCTCCTGTCTGTGATTTGCATTAAAATACTCCAGTTGGAAAGGGGGGAGGGGTAGATGTGGCCAATGTGGCAAGACTATGAGGGTTGTTGAAGGTGGTCAGTGGGTACACAGGGCTGGGCTGCACTCTCTGCCTTTGTGGGTATTTGGAAACTCTCAGAATTAAAGCAAATATCATGTATCACATATGTGATTTTTAAGTAAAAAAAACAAACAAAAAACCCCCCACCAAATAAGTAAGAAAATCCATGACCAATTATCAATCCACCATGCCAAAGTTCTCCCTGAAACTGCTGAACGAGGTTATAAGTGATGAAAACTGAGTAAAATAATTTCCAAAAACCCTTATCAGATGTATTACTTATTTCCCACATGAGCATGTATCTGTATGTATGTGTGGATGTCTATGGCTCGATAGAGATCTGTAGTTACACACGCTTATGTAATATATATCAACAGGATATATATAAAATACGCTATATATTACTCAAAAAGCAGCATAGTTCCATTTTTAAAGATTTGTAAAAGAGAGAAAAGAAGGAGGAAGTTCTTCATAGCTCCGTTTTAACACAATCACCCTTAACATTTTCATGTCCAGACCCTATTGATATTATGTTAATCATAACACTTCTTGACTTGGGTATTCTGAATCCTTCGATGAATATAGCATCACATTTTTTAATGTTATGTTGTTTTCATGACTCTTCTGAAGTGTACTGTGTCTTTCTATGACAAACGTAGTAGATGTTGATCATAGAAGACCAGAAGTGTAGAAAGGCAAAAGGAAGACCCAGCCCTTCACTGAGAGATTGTCCTTCACCTACAACGCTCAGACATACTGTCTAAAATACTCTTCAGCGAGGAATGGCTGCCTCCCAGTTTCCCCTTGTACAGAAATAAGGCTGTCGTGGATATTCCTATGCATCGAGGTTTTATTATTCTTAAGATTCATTCCTTCAGCTAGATCACCATATGGTTTCTGTTATTTTCAGAAATGTCCACTTAGAACCGGGTCCCTTTTGTCGAATGTATACCTGAGTACATAGCAGGCTGTCAGTCCAGCCACAGTCCATCCCACTAAATCCAAAGGTCCGTCCCAGGATTTCAGGGGGTTAAGGAACAACTGTGGAGCTCAACATCCAGGGCTCAAATCTTCTCTCTGCTGTTCACTGGATGTGCATTTGAGGCGAGGCCTTAAACTACATAGAAACCTTTCAATAAATTTCAGACTCTGCCATCTTAAGAGGCTGTAAACAGTATTCCAATAGAAGTTTCAAGATTCCAGATTCGGAAGGTGGGCAGGCTTCCCCTAACTGTCTACTCACCCCCCCCCCCCGGACAATGGGCCACATTTGGGTGCAGATGTGAATATAGGTTTTTTTCTGACTAAAGGGTCTACAGCTTACAGTGGTCAGAGATCCAGAAAAGATCAAGAATCCCTGTCACACACGATAAGCTCAAATGTTACCGGATGGGGTTGGAGTTTGCTGGATGAATGTTGGGTGTTAGGTGGGCCCAGGTGACCCCCCGGGTTCTGACTCTGTCAGAGTCAGAGCCTTGCCAAGGAGCCAGCCACCAGCCCTTTGCCCTTGATGTCCACAGATCGAGTGGGTGCCTCTGCGGAGGATGGAAAACACACTTCAGGGGTAAATGGGCAAGAACCTTCAGGCCTTCTTTTTTAGGAAGAACCTAAAAACTTCTGAGACATGAAGGCCTGCCCAGGGGCCACCTGCGTGGAGTGGGCAGGCTGTGTAGACCAGTGTTCCTCAAACTGTAACATGCACCCAGATCCTTTGGGGATCTTACTCCAATCCAGATTTTGAATCAGGAGCTCTGGGGTGGACACTGAGATCCTGCATTTCTAACCAGCTCCTGGATGACGCTGGGCTGTGAGCAGAAGGCTGGAGCATGCCGGCCCCACTTACCAGCTTTCAGGAGCTAACTCGCCAGCCCCATGACTGCCCTCTCTCCTGGCCTCCTTTGCCAGGTCCATGTCTCCTGATGTCCCCTCAGCTTTGCACACAGACCCTGCAGCTCCCTCGTAGGTGCTGTTGACACGTGCTGATGAGTAAGCAGCTTTGAACTGGGAACCTCTATGTCTGCAGCGTGGTCCCTGGGAACCATACTGAGGCGACGGTCGCCTCGGGATGCCAGGTGCAGAGTCACCGCTGGGGACAGAGGCCCGAAGCACACAGCCCAGGTGTGGGAGGGATGGGACCCGTCCCAGGCTCCCTCTCAGAGCTGAGAGCTGAGGTGGGCGGGCAGCGCTGTCCTCACCAAAGCCCCGAGTGGCCTGGGTCAGAGCACACAGGGATGCCCAGGAAGCACCGGTCGGGGCCAAGCCTGAGCCGACAGCAGAGACGGGACACAGCAGTCTCTGGAGCTGTGTGTGGGGGGGGGGGGGGCTCCACACACTCTGGAGGGCTCCTGGGAGCGTCTGGGGGTCAGCATCAGGACCCGGTGGTTGTCCTTTGGGGCCGGGCCCCAACTCGGACTGTATGTCAACAGGAGGCCCTGCTTGGAGAAGCCCAGGACACAGCGGGGAGCTGGGCTCTTCGGGTGGGTCTGGGGGTCTGCCTGTCAGGGGAGCAGCGGGTCAGGGAACGCAGAGCCCCGTGTGGCTGGGGGTGGCGAGTGTCAGGGGAGAGCGTGGCCAGGCCGTGGACGGCGCTGACGGGCCCCTTGAGGGAGCCTGAGGGCAGGGGGGAGCCGGGCAGAGCCAAGCAAGGGGGTGACCCAGTCAGCGTGTGACCTGCTTTAGGAAGCCGGTTAGCCGGTGTGGAGCCGGATGTGGAGACAGGAGGCAGGAGCAGTTGGAGGCTGGCTGGCGTGGGGTGTGGGGAGTGGCCGCACGGGAGAGGTGACAAGAGGGTGAGGAGAGATGTGACTGGGGTGGGGCCACCCTGCATCCTGGCTTCCCTGAAGGAAGGGCTGGCGCAGTCCCTCCTCAGCCCAGCCCCTGGGTGAATGTGTGCAGGGAGCAGGGGGGAGGCGGGGTTGCGGCTTTGGGAGCCCCTAGGGGAGGGGCAGGGCCAGGCTCAGCTCTGGGACCTAGGCCCCTGGCCTCAGTTTCCCTGTTTTAAAGCCCAGGACTTCGTCCCAGGGCCTCTGGCAGTGCCACGGTGTGGGCAGAGGCAAGAGAGGACCCTCATCACAGCCTCCGTGGGGGCGTGTGCGGGCCCGGCTCAGACCACCCACTTAGGGGTTTTTCTTCCAAGGGGCACATGCAGGCTTGGGGGCTGCCCTGCATTCAAGGACAGCAGGAAATTCAAACCGCAGGCATTTCTTCTCCCTGGAAAAGGTGATCGGAAGGGCCTGGAGCGTGGCCCCTCTGGAAGGTCCAGGCTCCAGGCCTTCATCATTCAGTCAGTGGAATTACCAGGATTCTAACCTCTGGGACAGAGCCAGAAACAGGAGCCCCTGCTCCAGCCCTGCAGTGTACAAAGCCTCTCCCAGCTGGGATCTTGCAGTGGCTTGCCGGGACGGAGGCAGGACAGGAATTAGTGTCCCCTATCCGAGGAAACCGAGGCTGGTGGAAAACCAAGACCGAGGGCCCAAGGTCACGCAACTAGTCACAGCAGACCTGGGATTTGGATGGAGGTTGGTCTGACATCCACGATGTCAGTTCGTGTCAGAGCAGGGCGTGGCAGACAGAGTACAGCATGATCCGGCCATGGTAAGCAGCTGTGCCGTGCAATCCTCATCTGGCCCCCATGTCAGCAGAGGCCCCCTTCTGAGAATGACCAGGAACAGACCCCAGAGTACCTGGGTGGGCTACGGATTCGTGCACTTCCTGGTGCCAGGGGCCCAATCAGGCACTATTGCCTATTATGTGCCTAAAACCGTTCTCTGCCCTGGGAATACAGCAGTGAGCAGGACCAGTCTGGCCCTCGTGGGGGCTCTCCTGACTTGGAATAAAAGCTCTAACTTGTTATGGCTTCAAGGCTGGGGCAAGGAACTCCCAACCCCTGAGCCTATTGGCTCATCTGCAAAGAACAAGGATAGTAACACCTTCCCACAGGGTTATAGATGAGAGATCCCAGGCCGGGTGCCCCTGGTCATCAGTGAATCATACTCAACCTGCCTCAACTCAAACCCAACTGAAGGAAGCTAAGGCCCAGAGAAGTGCAGTAACTTGTCCAAGGTCACACGGGTATATCCCTGGCAGTGAGGACCCAATCCAAGCTCCTTCCTGCCCCTTAGGCACTGACTGCTTCTCAGATCCCACATTGGTCTGGGGCAGAGAAGTCTTAACAGGGCTCCCGGCAACAGAAGGGCAGTGGGCAGTGTGTAGGCCCGCCCACCCACTCTGGGCCTCGAGACTAGTCGGGGAAGCCAGCTGGGCAGGTGGAACCGCCTGTGGAGACATGGCCACCTGGGCCAGCCCTGGGCTCAAAGGTGAGAGAACCAGTCTTGGGCACCATTGTCTCTTTGCAGAAATCTGTTTAATGGTTTAGGAATGTGTACACTCTGGCTCTGCTGTTTCCATAAAGGCAACTTTTCCATGTTTCAAAAAATAGATTTGCTATAAAGATTTATGTATCATAAATAGGTAATGTGAAAAATCCCCAAATGCAAATGGCATCACTGGACTTGGCTGAGGCCCTCCCCACAGCCAAACGGTCCAGGCCAGCAGGGTGCAGCGGGTCCCTGAGGCCCCACCCCTGGCAGCCCTCCTAGGAAAGAGTAACTGAATTCAATATGAATTAGGAGCTTCCTCTAGCTCCATGCCTGCTGCAGCCTGATGTCCTTGAACCCCGCTTCCAGGACAGGAACCCACCTCTCCGGCTTGGGAATCACAATCCGTGTCCCTTGCCTGCCCCGCTGCTAAAACACCAGCCTTCTGGTTCTTTAGCCCGTGTCATACCGGCCCCACTCAGGCCACAGACAGTGCTCTCCCTGGGCCTGCTTGCTGCCAGGACACTTCCTGGCCCTGTCCCCCGCCTCCTCTCCCACACCCTGGCCCCTGACCCCACCTGTTCCTGCTCTTGGGTAATTTATAAACAGAGGAAGAGATTAGGCTCTCTGGCCCCAGAAGCCCTGGGCCTGCTGCGGGAGAAAACAGAGGTGGGTCGTGTTCTGTCTCAGCACTTCCCCATTTTCTCTTAACCCGAGTTTGGGTCCCCAAGTGACAGAAGACAGAGACTCAGGAGACAGTGAGGGCCCCGCCCGACCCGGCCCTACAGACAGGCAGCCCAGCTGGCATGCGGTCAACCCCCCACACCAGCGTCAGGCCCTGAGCACTAGCATTTGAATTTGGGGCCGAAGCTGGGAAATGGGTCTGTTTGAGCCTTGTAGGAAATGGCTCCCGCTGAGGAAGAGGGGGACAAAGAACTCATTCTTGCCAGGGGGTACTAGGAGCAAGGGGCTAGCTTGGGATGGGGCCAGTTCTCAGGGGTGTCCAGGTGGGTCATCTGTGGGACTCTAAACGACAGGAATAAAGGCTGGGTGAGTGCGGGGGAGGGTGGGAAGGGGGCAGCCTGGACAGAGGGTGCTCCGGGGGGACAAGGTGCTGGGGAGAAGCCAGGGCAGAGCTGTGGAGGCCTTGGACATCCAGACTGAGCATGGACCGTACCCCGAGGACCCCAGGCACCCTGGAAGGTGAGGGGGCAGCATCAGTGTGACCTTTTGCCACTGCCACGCTGACTGCAGCGGGAGGGGGCCTCGGTCTGCACAGGCTAGAAGCCCAGGGGCCAAGGAGGTCCAGGAGGCGTCCAGGGGAGCAGCGTGGAGGTGGGACCCCAGCACTGCGGTAGGGTGGAGAGAGAGAGAGAGGAGCCTAAGACAACCCCTGGATTTCTAAGCTAAAATCCCTGGTTGCCGTGGTACCTGGAGGATGGGGTGGCAGGAGGCCACTCAGCCCAGTGTTCTGGACACCTTGGAACTGAGAAAGACAGGAAAGGGAAGTGTTTCGTGGTTGCTGGGCGAGCTAAAGGCTGCCAGTGGGCAGAAACCTCCCTGGTCCTGGCTGGGCTGGCTGCTCCCTTCTCTTCTCTGCCAAGCCTCTGCAAGGTTTCAGGCCTCCAACCCCGGGGTCTGGAGGAGGAGGGGGGTGGTTTGGAGTCCAAACCCCTGTCACCAGCCAGCTGCCTGTTGCTGTGCCTGCCCTGGATCCTCAGGGCAGCCCAGGGCGTCCCTGTGAAGGAGATGGAATGAAATGGCCTCCCGCATTCCCTAGCCATCCCAGCCCTAAGGCAGAGAAGGACAACAGGTAACAATGGGTAGGGCTCAGTGGGAACTGAGGCTGCAAGTCAATCACGGGGGGCGGGGGGCGGTTAGGCCCAGGCCTGTGCCCCAAGACCCCCTGCATCCCCGCCACCGCCCCCCAAAGCAGCAGATCTCTGCAAGGTCAGGCTTCATGAGGTTTCTCTTCCAGCTTGGGCCCAGGTTGAATGCTCAGCTCTGCCCAAACATCAGCCCCCAGCAGAGGTCATGGGGCTGGAGGACCCTTGCCCTTGGCCCAAATGTGCCTCAGTCATAGGCACGTTCTACTTTGCAGGTAGAGCCCAGGCACTGCAGTGGAGGGGCCCGGCAGACACCAGTTCTCCCTGCCAGCAGCTGGGCCCCAGGCCCCACTCACCCCATCCCACCGGCAAGGCCAGTGAGGAAGGAAGCCAAGTGGCCTTCTTGCTCCCAGGTCCCACCCCACCCGGCCACCAGTGGGCTGCTTCCCCTCAGTGCAGGCCCCTGCTCAGTAGCTCCTGGTCCAACCAGGTCAACATCCTTCCTCTCCAGAACCAGGCTCAGCTGTCCCAGGGCTGCCTCCCTGCCCAAAACGGAGTCCCCAGCCCTGCCTGTCTCGGTCTCAGCCAGGGAAGCCCTCCGTGTCCGACCCTGCTTCACCAGACGCCAGCGATTCTAGAGCAGCTGGATAAAGTCCAGACCCACAGACCCCTGCTGTGGGTCTGGCTGCTGCAGAAGGTCTGGCTTCTGGCTCTGCAGACGGGCCTGCCTGGGCGAGGGTGTGATGCAGGCCAAAGGGTGGGAAGTACAAGGCAAGGGAAGTTAGCTGGAGGCCTGTGGCCCACCGCTGGGCCCAGGGCTGGGCCAGGGGCGCTCCCTGGGCTCCACCTTCATGGTGTGGCCTTGCCCATGGCTCTGACAGCAGTGTATTTCCTGGGGCCCCACACGGAGGGGGGCCTAAGGAGCTAGACTGGGCTGACACGGAGGGCCTGGGTGGTACAGGAAGATCACCTGCCTCCCCCAGCTCCATCCCTGTGATCCCCTGAACTACCCCCAGAGGACGGTGCGCTTCCAAGAGCCCCGGTGATGCCAGCCCCCACCTGCCTTCTAACCTCAGCACGCAGCACACGCCGAGGCCGTTAAGGGCAGGTGGGCCCAGGAGGATGAAACGGCCAGACCCAGGACTGCTGGGGCCTTGCCTTCTTCTTTCGGGAAACCGTAAGCTAGACTGGAAGCAGTGGGGGAGCTGCTGCTCTGAAGGTGGCAGGAGGGGCTTCTGCACAGGTCAGACCAGGTGTCCTGAGGGTCCCTTTCAGGACCTTAGCCTCAGGGACACCAGCTTTTACTTTTCCCTTAAATGTCCACATTCCTATCTCATTCCCCAAGCCCCCCAAATTCTGAGAGTAGATGCTGAAGAATCAGCTGGTTTTGCAACCTGAGTGGCAAAACTTTGGGCCCCAGGCCAGCAGACAGTCCCTGCTTGGCTGTGGGCCATGACCCCATACCTGTGCTGATGAAAACAAGAAGCTACACGGGAAACCAGAAAACTTGAGAGGTCTTGCTAAGGCAGCAAGCCAAGCCCCAAGCTATCTGCGAGCTTAGAGCTGGCAGTGAAGAAAGGAAGAAGGCTCCTCGCCAGGAAGGAGTTAGGGCTTCCCCGGGGCTGTGCTCAGGAACCGAGTCTGTCGGGCTAGTTGCTCTCACTCTCTGGGGCTATGCACAGAGGCCCTGGAATGACCCGGAAGAACCCAAGGCACCAGCCACATCCCTGGAGGGCAGCAACCTGCCGCCACAGCCACAGCAAGACGCAAGGTGTGAAATGGTCAGAACCAGTACTTGCGGCGCAGGGGAGGCACATCCTGGCCCCTCTCCCGCTGTGGTCCACCCAGGCAGGCCCGGGCCAGTCCTGGACCGTGAACGACGCAGAGGGGACAGCCACCGGCTGGCAGGATGGGCCCCACACTCTACACCCTGTATGACACCAGGTCTCCCTCAGAAGGTACCCCACTTCTTCCTTCCTCGAAGGTAGCTTTCCCATCAAGTACCCAGGCCACGGAATGGATAATTCCAGGACTTTATCCAGCTGCTCTAGAATCGCTGGCGCCATGGATGGCCAGCTCTGGAGGGGTGGGCCCGACAGGCCAGAGAGAGAGAGAGAGAGGAGGTGGGGCGGCCCCTGCCTGCCTGCCCTGCACCCTGGTCAGCAGCCACAACCCCAGCTCTCTCCGATGTCCTTGCTATCCAGCTGGATGTGGTCGGTGCCCTTCTCACTGAGCAGAGGGCCGCCGTGCCTGACCACCAGCTCCGTGGCCACCCTCACGAAGGCCTCCTCCACGTTGCTCGAGTCCTTGGCAGACGTCTCGATGGCGCACAGGATATCGTAGCGCTCCGCCAGGCTCTGCGCCTCGGCCAGGGGGACCTCACGGAGCTCGCCCAGGTCCGACTTGTTCCCTGCAGGGAAAGGCCGGGTGCGGCTTGGTGAGGCCCGCAGGCGCCAGCAAGCCCTGGCCTACCTGGCAGGGCCAAGCTGAGAGATGCCCTGCCCGCCACCAACGAACACCATTTGGCATGGCTAGCTCTCTTTTTAAGGAAAAAAAAATAAAAAGACCTTTTTAAATTTTAAAGTGCTTATTCTAACCTTTCGTCCCTGCTTTTTTTTTTCTCTCTTTATTCTCTATGCCAGAGGCTCGTGTATTTTATTGCTTCTTCCCAACAAGTGGGAGCAGTAGAGTTTGGCCAAGAGTACTTTAGAGCTGCAAGCAACTTCAGCTCCCTTTCACTTGCTGTGTGACCCTCGGTAAGTCACTTCACCCCTGAGTCTCGCTCCCCCATCTCTGATGCCACCTTCGGCATAGGGGGGCTGGCTGGGCAGGAAGCTGGCCCACGGTGGCGTGAACAGGGAGAACTAGCGTGGCGAGGTCTGTTCTTTGCTAACATCTTGTTATGCTTATTATTTATTCTCTCCTATTTTCCTCTGGAATTCTTTTATTCACTGTGAGATCATGGTTTTCGATTATTTTGCTCTTCTGCGCAGAAGAGCACAGACTACCAGCTGACCTGAGAGCACACTTCTGGCTTCTTCTACAAGGTGTCAGACGTTTCATTATGTTCCCAAAAAATCTGGTCAACGGCTCCTTGACCTAATTTCTAGAAGAATTCTTCTAAGTCTCTAAATGGTTGACTTTTGTAGTGTGACTATAATAGGGAGGACAGAAAAAAAGATAACCGTCTAGAAAGATCTAAACTGTCTTTGGTAGTCTTAAATGATGCAGTAACCAATTGCAACGTGGGGAGCTTATTTGGATCCTGCTTTCAACAAACTGAAAAAAAAAGTATGTGTGATATTTAGGAGCAATGATAAATCTGAACGCTGATCAGCTACTTGATTATATTAAGAATTTTCAGATGCGAAAATGGTCTTGTTAGGTACTTTTTAAGTGTCTGTATCTTTTATAGATTCATGCTGGAATATTTACAGATGAATTAGTTACGGTGCTGGGATTCGCCCCAAAGCAAGACAAGGGAGGGGAAGAGATGAGGCTAGAGAAACTGGCCAGGAGTGGCTCAGAGCTGAAGCTGGGGCATGAAGATCCAGGGTTCACTGCACTATTCTATTTTTTGTATTTGTATAAAATGCTCTATGGCAGAATGTTTTACTCTAAATGTCCTGGATAAAAGGGAAGTGTAAGGCCGGGTAAGGCGAACTCCACTCCTGCCGGGGGAGTCCAGCTTCGCTAAGCACTTCCCCATCCTGGGCCAGGCAGGCTGGGTAGAACCAAGCACCACCCTTTCCCCAGCTGGAGCTATGTCCAGGCCCCATCTGTACAATCTCGTCTTGGAAGAATCAGCCTGAGGGCTGGAATGAGGACTCCAGGGACCACACAAATGGTCCAAAGCGTCTTAAGCCCAGGTCTGGGAAGCCGATTTAGGAGGAAAAGGGAAAATGGAGATAAGAGCAACAATGGTTCTCAAAGTGGGGTCTCTGGGCCACAAACATGGTGCCTCCTGGGAACCTGTGAGAAATGCACATTCACGGGCCCCACCCAGCCCTCCTGAATCAGACATGGTGCCTGGCATCTGTGCTTTCACAAACTTCAGAGTGATGGGGAAGCACACAGATGGTTGAGAAGCCCTGCTCTGCAGTGTGGTGTGACAGCAAGTCACCGAATGACAATCGGCAGGGCTCAAGTTTCCTATTTATATGCTCACAGGCTGTGTGGACTGGGATAAATTACTTTTCTGAGCCTGAGCTCCAGCCCCTGACAAACAAGGAGTAGCCAGGGTTATGGGAACTAAATCCAACGACCCAGTGAAGGTTTAACCAGTGTTACCACTGTGGGGATACACGGTAACTACAAAGCTCCCTTTCTTCCTCCCTCTAATTCCAATTTTGAATATAATTGTGTAAGTGATTGGCGGGATCATATTTGGAAGATCACAGTTCAAGTTCTGGCTCCCTTCCTGCCTGGCCAAGTTCAGCCTCTCTCTGTGCTCCACTTGCCTTCTGTTTAAAAAGGAGAGAGACTAGGACAGACAGAGAGACAGATCGTGGCCCTAAGGAACCCTGCTGGGCCTGCCCCATCCCCCCCAGCTCACCGATCAGCAGCTGCACGATGTTAGAGCCTGCGTACTTCCTCACGTCCTCGATCCAGTGAGGCACTGACAGAAAGGAGCTCCTCTTCGTGATGTCGTACGCGAGGATGGCCCCGTTGGCACTGCGGTAGTAGCTCTGGGTGATGGTGCGGAATCGCTCCTGGCCAGCCGTGTCCCAGATCTGCAGCTAAAGAAATAGGGGGCCTCCCGTGAACCTGGTGGTGTGACCAAGCACAGGGGATAGGCAAGGGCAATCCCACAGACCCACGCCCAAAGTGCTGGTTCCACTGCGCAGGCCACCAGCCTGCACCTTGGCAGGAATCACACAAGAGGGGCTAGAAGGTGGACAGAGAAAGAAGTACTTCTGCACCCTTAGGAAAAAACTCAGTGACCCAACTCTGAGGGGGACAGGAGGATGCAGAGGGAAGGTGGGGAGCCCTCATCTCTGCTCGCTAGAGTCCCCAGCGAAAGGTGGCAAGGGGACATTCTGCACTGCAGCAGGACGTACACTTGACCCAGGGTCCTCCTTGTGCCCTCTCTCCCCTACACACTGGGCTCACTGCTGGGAACAGTGAACCAGAAGAGCTCCAGCAGCTCACAGTTCCAGGTGTGCTATGATGCTGGCTGTGTGTACATGTCCTGTGCCTTCCCCTCTCTGGGCCTGTAAATGCACCGCTATACCCAGCTGTGTGGAAGGTTCCTCCAGCATTCGGGTTCCTCTACTCCTGCCTCAGTGATGCCTGGGAAGATGCTCACAACCTGGTGATGAGGGGGCCTGGGTTGTGGCAGTGAGGGCCCGGGGAGGCAGTGGATAGGGTCCTCCCGTAGGGCCTTTACCACCAGCTGGCCCAGCTTGGCCAAAGGCAAGAAACCTGGGGTTTTTCCTTGCCATGTCTTCACTTAGCAAACACCCATTGGTGCCCACTGCCAAGCCCTTCTGGACACTGGACATGGAAGAGAGATGCCCATGTGTAGCAGGAGCTCCCCTGGTTTCTGTAGAAGCAGCAGTCTGCCGTGACAGATGCCAGATAGGGCAGGGGGAGGGGCTGCACCCGGAGAAGACCTGGACCTTCACTGTGCCCAGGCTGGGTGGAGGTCACCAGCTCTGGGCCTGGGAGAGATGGGCTGTCGGGGGCCATCAGAGTGGGCAGATGCCAGGGCTCTTAGGGGCTCAGGGTTTGTCTTCTCTGCTCCACAAATCACAGGTTCTTGGGGCTCTCTGAAGATGAACATGAGCCTTCGATTTCCACCAAGCTGTGGGTCCATCCATCCTCCTTCACTGGCACAAGCACACTGGGCGCCTCTTTATCTACTTCACAAGGTGTGGGAGACCCACTGGTCTGTTCAGGATAGGGAAAAACCCCAGAGGCCTCAGACAGTTCCTGAGGGCAGGGCTGTGGAGGTGACCACCTCTTCCCTAGGCCCCACCGACAGAAGTCTAAGAGTTAACAAACTCTGGGACATGCCAAATGGAACCCTCCAGTCCTGAGACCTCCTATTTACTCCTTAACCATAAAAGGCTCCAAGGAAACCGGGTGTCTGCTAGTTCATGCATGGGGTGAAGCGAAAGGCATGAACTCTGGCAATACACAAACCTGGAATCCAGATAACCAAGAAATTCATCTCCATACCCCAGAGGAGGGCACATAAGACAGAGGCCAAATGAACATAGAAAAAAAGTGACTTGAATGAAACAAAAACTATGCAGAGGCAAATTTTTGTTTACCAAAAACAAACATCAGTATTTTCAGAGATAGGAAAAGATCTGTAAAACAATAACAGAATACTATATCTTAAAAAAAAAAAAAAAAAAAAAAGTTGAGGGAGTATTCAAGAAAAGAAAATAGAGGGGCGCAACTCTTGATCTTAGGGTTGTGGGTTCAAGTCCCATACTGGGTGTAGAGATTACTTAAAAATAAAATCTTAAAAAAAAAAAGAGCTTTTGATAATTAAAAATATAACATCAATGAAAAATGCAATCTAAGGGTTGAAGAAATCCCTCCAAAATAAAGAAATACAAAGAGATGGAATAGAGAGGGGAAAAAAAATTGTAGAGCCAGCCTAGGAGGTCCAATAGGGGGATAGCAAGCATTTCAGAAGAAAAATAACAGTAAAATCAAGGGGTGGAAATCAAAGAAAAACTTCAAGAACACTCCCTCTGCGTTGAAAGAGCCCACTAAGTAGCCACACAATGGAGCAAAACAGATCCCCACAAAACACACCACATGGGAATTCCACAACAATGGGGAAGAAAAAAGGTCCTAAAAGCTTCCAGGGAGGAAAAGAAAAAGAAAAAACAGGTTTTAACATTATAGTTTTACAAAATCCACATGGCATTAGACAGTCAATGAAAAAAATGCCTAACATAATAGGATAGAAAATTATTTCCAACCTAGAATTTTCTACCCAATTAACCATCAGTCAAGTGTGATGGTTTAATAAATATTTTCAGATATACAGGCCTCAAAAAATTTATCTTCCTGTCACCCTTTCTCAGGAAGCTACCGGCGGTTCCTCTAACTAAAGCAATCAACCAAAAATAGGATGTGGGATCCCGAAAACAGAGAAGTCCACTCAAAAGAGAGGCAAAGGGAACCTCAAGATGGTGGTCGAGGGAGATCCCAAGGCAACAGCTGAGCAGCGAGCCTGGACATCAACCCATCTGCAGCAGGCCACGGGGCTCCAGGAGCAGCTTCCAGCTCTGATAGAGTAATTCTGGCAGATGAGCCCTCCCTCCACAAACAAGGCTGAGAAAAATAAGGGAGGTTGCTGTTTTCAAGATGTAAACAACAAGCAGCACAAGAAATAATCCTGAAAGACGCAAAACTTGTAAGATGCGCCTCCTGATCACCACAACTCTCTCTACCCGGGGATGGCTTCCTGACTGCCAGACAATGGGCTAGAATCCAAGCAAAGCACAGTGGTCCCACATGGCCGGGAGGCACATATCAGAGTCTGGAGCAGCTGATGGGACTGGAATGAGGAGCGATGCAGGGGTGGGAAAGCCTAACGTCTGGGTATGCTGTGGGAGTCGTTGGAGACTCCTTCCCTGGGGGCTCCATGCATAGGGTGGGACTACCAGAATTTTACCAGACAGTGACTCCTACAGGGTTGAGAAAAGACCAGAGATAGAGGCTGAGCAGTGCTAGGGGGATGCTCCATGCATAGGGTGGGGACTAGACAAAGGCCTCCAAAAACCTGCCCTAACAAAGCCTAAAACCAAGCTGCAACACGAGTCTCAGGTCTGGTGGCTGACTTCTGTCAAGTCAGAGAGGCTAGAGAAACATCCTTGGACTTCCACCTATTTGCCCTAACAAAACATAAAAGCAAGCCTACACAGGTTCAAGGTGATCGGCCAGCAAACTGAATTGACTATTAGGACATGAATCAATGGGGGCGCCCGGGTGGCTCAGTCCGTTAAGCATCTGCCTTAGGCTCAGGTCATGATCTCCAGGTCCTGGGATGGAGCCCCGCATCAGGCTTCCTGCTCAGTAGGAAGTCTGCTTCTTTCTCTCTCACCCTCTGCCTCTCCCCACTGTTTGTTCTCTCTCTCTCAAATAAATAAATAAAATCTTAAAAAAAAAAAAAGGACATGAATGAATGCTCTTCAAAAGAAGAGAACAGAATCCAGAGTCTCAATAAGGTATCAACCACTATTTCCAGTATACAATCAAAAATTCCTAAACATGCAGAAAACCAAAAAAACAAAAAACCCTAAGAAAATTTGATCCACAAAGAAAAAAAGCCAATAGAAAATGATGCCAAAATGATCCAAATACTGGATTTTAGTAGGCAAAAATATTAAAGCAGTTATTTTAAGTATGATCAGAGAATTAAAGGAAAATATGATCACAATGAGTAGGCAAATAAGGAATTTCAGCACAGAAATGGAAATTATTTTTTTAAAACATACAAAAAAAGTCAAAACTCTAGAACTTAAAAGTACAAGTGACGTTCTATGAGCTGAGCTGCAAAACGGAGATGGCACACACACACACAAATCTGAACCTGAAGAAAAATCAGTAGAAAGTATTCCCTCTGAAGAACAAAGAGAAAAAAAAAATATTGAAAAGCAAGAGAGGTACAGGGACATGCAGGACATCATACAGTTCCATATTGACATAATTACAGTCCCAGAAGGAGAAAATGGTGAGAATGTGGCAGAACTAATGACCAAAAATTGCAAATTTAATGAAAATATCAATTTAATGATCCAAATAACTCAGCAAAACCCAAGCAGAAGAAATACAAAATATACCATGGGAGACTACAGCCAAACTGATGAAAACAACGGTAAAAGAGAAAAATTTTAAAGGAGTCAGAGAAAAAGACATATACAGGGTAACAGTAACAAATGACAAGTGACTTCTCACCAGAAATAATGCATGTCAAAAGACAATGCTGAAAAGAAAAGAAAAGAAAAGAAAAAAAAAGTACTGAAAGAAAAACCTTTCAACACCAAAGTCCCTAACCAGGAAAAAAATCTCTCTCAAAAATGAGAGTGAAATAAAGATAATTTCAGACAAATGAAAGTAGAATCTCCCTGGAAGACCTGCACAACAAGAAATGCTAAAAGATGTTCTCCAGGCTGCAGAGGAATGATACTAAATGGAAACGCTGATGTACACAAGGAATGAGAAGCACCAGAAATGGTAAATAGGTAGGTATATCTAAAATATGATTTTTGTTTCTTATAATTGCCATATAAGACAACTGACTGGAGGGCGCCTGGGTGGCTCAGTTGGTTAAGCGACTGCCTTCGGCTCAGGTCATGATCCCAGAGTCCTGGGATCGAGTCCTACATCAGGCTCCCGGCTCAGCAGAGAGCCTGCTTCTCCCTCTGACCCTTTCCCCTCTCATGCTGTTTCTCTCTCTCTCTCTCTCTCTCTCTCAAAAAAATAAAATCTTTAAAAAAAAAAAAAAGACAACTGACTGGAAAACTATAAATAATGATTGTAAGGTGGGATTTATAATGTATTAGAAATAAAAAGTATGACAATAATAGCGCACCAAAAAAGGAGGGCAGTTAAATAAAATTATACTGTTGTAAGGTGACTACACTTATGAGGTTTCAGATGTAAAGTGAGAAATGAGAAGTGTTAAGTGTCAGTTGTAACACATGAAGTGATACAAAACTAACTCTAAAGAGACTTTATAAGTTAAGGATGCATAGTTAGCCCTTCATCT